TTGTTGGGGTGGCTTGATTGATAAAGTTAGAAACCTTATACATCTAAGTCATGGAAAGGACCAGATCTGAGCTTTCAAGCTCCTTAAGTAGTAGGAAAAAGGGCTTAATGGATTAAGCTCCCGAGACCGGGCACCACGTTGCGACCCAATGTCGCTACGATGTGGCAATTGGGTTGCAACCCGTCTACTGTGTCGTTTAGCAGCCACAAAGTAGTCAAGGGAGGCCACAACGTGACGACCAGCTAGAGTTGACTTTGACGTCTGACCGTTGACTTTGACCAAGTTTGACTTTAGGTCATTTGAGGTATTTTGAGTAGTAGATTGAGGCTTGGACCTGTGTGTTGTACATGAGACATGTAGAGTGGGTATTTGGAGCAGCATTCATTTCAGCTATCTTTCAGAATGTGAGGTGAGTTTTCCTCATTGTACTTGTGGGTCGAAGGAACCAATGTCGGCCCACTGGATTATGTATCCTCGTATATTTGATGATGTTATGTTGGGGTTATATGATAAACTGGTAGATATGTATGATTACCAGTGTTCACTGGATATATGTTAGACTGGTAGATCTGTATAATTACCTTTGTTTGCTGGTTATTGATTGTTATTGTATATATCGTCATGTTATGGTTTGTTGGGTTGAGGCGGCCCTTCTTTGTGCTGAAGACCAAGATACCCGGGGCGGTCCATATAGACTGATGGTCTGCGAGGCGGTCCAGTCAGGACGAAGGCCTGGAAAGCGGTCTAGATAGGCTGTAGGCCCTACGAGGCGGTCCAGTCAGGCTGAAGGCTCATATATGCATGCTGTTATCTGTTTGGTTGTGTATGGTACTTTGGGGGAACTCACTAAGCTTTGGCTTACAGTTTGATTGTTATGGTTTTAGGTACTTCAGAGGACAGGGGCAAGGCAAATGCGTGATCATACACGTCCTTTAGATATATGTTTGGAGATTGTATGATACTCTGATTTTGGAATATTTGTATTTGATACTTGGTTTTATGACTTGGGTTTTGATTGAAACAATGATTTTACTATAACTAAAAAATGAAAATTTTATCGTGATTCTTGGGATGTTACAATTTGTTACATTACGCTTTTGGATCTTCATGCCATTAGAGAATGTTCTTCTTGATTATTTTGAAGACCGATGTGATGTTGAGGGAGGTTCTAAAAAGGATTTGGGAAGCATATAAGTGATTCGGAATGCTTATTTTTGAAGTGGGTTTCTTTATGGTGAGTTTTGACTAAAAGGACTTATTTTTTAGGATTACTTTCGAAGCTCCGGTTTATCATTACATTGAAGCTTGCTTTATGTTTGATAAATATCCTAGAACCCTTCTGTGCTTATTAAATTACCGAATATTCAAGTTTGCAGATTTCTTCATCATTTCTTCTCACTATGATGTCACATATTAACTTTTTATTCGTTAGATGCTTTTCAGAATTTTAGAGTCTCGTCATTTATTCTGAACTTTAGGGGGGGGGGGGGGGGGGGGGTGTTGGGATGAAATGTTATTCATGAAAGATGACAAGAGAAGACTTGGAATGCCCAATTAGACATGTAAGTTTTTAGCTTATGACTTGAGATAGAAAGACTTGTACATTCACCCCTATATATAGTGATTATTATATTCATTAGTGTGTGCTTAAGAGATGTAATTTGAGAGTTGTAAGTTGAATTAATTATTTAGACTAGATCTAGTTTTTTTTTTTTTTTGTAACTTCTCACTATAATAATAATATATTTTAACATCCAAATCATTTTGTAGCTTGTATTATTTTTATTCTACATGTCAAATCAAGCTTTCATGTTCTTAAAAATTCACTTTTATATATATATATATATATATATATATATATATATATATATATATATATATAGATATATATATATAAAAGAGTAGTTGCCACATCTTATTTACTAAACAATATCATATATTTGTTTACTTTATATAATTACATATGTTATAGATAAATATTTTGTGTTAGTAAAAGTTAAAGAATTACCACATATATTTTTAATTTTTGTGTATGCGTAAGTAATTTACCTACACATCGAATAGACCGTATGACTAATGTAGTGGCCAATCACCAATTTTAGACCGAATAAAATCACTAAAAACTATTACCACATATATTTAGTGTTACTTGTCGTTATATTGACAACTACCCACACATAAATGTACTTGTGTCTCATTACTATTTAATCACACATGCACATGTGTGACTAGCATATGTCTAGGTAAATATCATAATATATTTTTTTTATAATGTATGGATTTTAATTCCACAACAGAATAACTACAACTTTATTCGGTAGCAAGATAACTATGGATATTGATTTCGTAGCAAACTTCTGCAAATATTCAAGAATGGAAAGTAATTTTGTAGCAAATTCCGTAAAAAAGCTATGCTGGAAAATAGCTACACTAGTCTCGCGACTATGACAAATTTCATAACAAAATAGCTAAGGACTTCGATTTTTAGTAACATTCCAAAGTTCTTCAAAATTTTGCTATAGAATATATTTCATTGTTGATTCCTGATGTGCTGTGAGAAAACCCAGAAGCCAAAAAAAAATTGTGTAAATCTCGTTTTAAATTTATAGAACAGAATTCACTTCAATTAGGGACATGTTACTCTAGGGAAATGAGTATGATTTACTGTTAGACAATACGAGTATCAGTTAGATTAAAGAGAACAAAACAAAAGAGGGGATGTATTAAAACTAAATCAAACTAAGAAACAAAGTGAAGCCAAACATATATGGAAAATTGAATAGAAACATATAAGTAAAGGTACTTCTACTTAAACTTGATTACACCCTTCAATTATAGTTGATTAGTGAAATGAAATGGATTTTAATTGTTATTCACGGATTCATAAGTTGACTTCTTCCTTTGTTCTATTCACAAATCCAAATAACTCTAAGGATAATTAACACAGTGGTCATGTAATTAATTAATCAATAAAATTAGTATTTAGTTCGTACTATGCATATTTATATTTGATCAGGTAATTGATCTTTAATGGTCATGCCCATCAATTAAAACATAGAATGGTCATATAATACAAGCATTTAAAGTTCATAGCTTTATTAACCTAACCCTAAAATTTAGTCTATCACTCGCAACTAATTTAATGGGCATAAAACAGTTATGCATGATTCAAGCAAACATAGTTATATTGATCCTCTAACTTTATAAACTTAACAATAGGCAACAAGTAAAACTTTAATGCATATAAATTTTTTATCAAACTTGACACAATAAATTAAATAACAATCAAACCAATAAATCAAGGTTTAAAATAATTCTAAGCAGAAAGAAAATGAGTTTTAAAGCCTCATATCAGAAACATGAACGCTAAAAACTATGATTGAAAAGCTAAATATAGACACTAAAGCAAACCAATCGATTCTTTAATGATTATGCATCTTGATCCTTCATAAGCATACTTCAAATCAGCTTAATGACCCTCCGTCCGCCTTCTTGTTCCTCAAAATGGCTCCTCTGGTGTTTCTTGTCGACCAAGGTGTATTATATGACTAATAAAATGTGTGTCTCCTTAGGTTCAACGTTTAAGGCTATTTATAGAGGTATTTAGCCGACACAACGAACGCGTTGTGACTTAGTGTTTGTCATGTGCCCTCCAAGCAATCTCGTCGGAAATGCGTCACGACTATGGGTGGGATGTGTTTTGACTTACACCTTTTAGCACATTTTTGCTACTTCTATATTACAACTCTCTTTTCATCCAAATCGCTCCCTTTCGCTCTAGTAACGTATTATATCTGCAATAACAACAATTTAAGACATACAAACATCTTTTGTTCTAAATAACATTAAAATACAACTCAAAATAATATGATAATGCTAGAAATATATGTAAAATAAGCGTTATCAATTCCGTAGCAAAATAAAATACTTATTTTGTTCAACTACTTATATGTATATAGATAATATGCGTAGGTAAAGCTTTATAAAATTTAGTGCCCTTTAACTCTATAAAATTCTATTCAAACAAGCACAAACTTAAACTACATAAATCTATGTCATTCAATTTGTTTATAATATTTAGCTCAAACGTGACCCATGCCACTTGTTGAAACACTTTCATGTGGAAGTATGATCTCAGGCCTTTATAGCATTTGTGTGGTGTAGTTTCCCGGGCCTAAGGAAATATCGGGATTTTAAGAAATGCAATTGGGTTAGCCACAAAGAAATATGGACCCACAAATTTGGTCAATGTGACCCATCTGTTTGTCCCAGGATCTTTACATGCTATTGCCTCCTGGAGGGATGCAAGAGCCAGTTATAATTCATGAGCCAACCCATCTGCATGACTTCTTGAATCTTGAGTGGGAAATGTCATTTTTACCCTTTTCCCTTTTTGTTTAGATAAGCTAACAAGTAGGTCTACTTGAGAATCTTAACTTGTGAAGTGGGTAGTGGTCGATATATTCTCCCATACACAAAACTACAATTATTTTTGTTCATTATATTTATCATTGTTATTGCAATTATTGTTGTTATTGATTTCTGGTTCTTATCCAACGAGGCATTCCATCTAATCAGTGGTATCATGATGACAAAACTATGAATCGAATAATCATTACATTAAGTTCCCAAAATTTTGGAGATCTGTCATCAAGTTTTTATAAAACAGTGAAATCATTTAAACCTTCAAGTTTTTATAAAAAAAATAAAAACATTTTTTCATTATATTTTTCATTGTTAGCCTTGTTTGATAATTTTTGTATCACTAACAACGTTTTTAAATTTACATGTTTATCTTGCACGCGATTTACAAATACTGAGAAGGAAACTGATAGCATGCATTTTAATATATTTTCGATATCTGTTATGATCAATTTAATTGACATATTAATATAACACGATACAAAGAGGTTATATTTTTACGTTATTAAACTCAAATCTAACTCTATTGTTAATGGAAGAAAGCTAAAAAGTCAAAATAAGATAAAAAAAAAATCAATCATTGGCCATAATTCATTGCTCTTATCACAAGAAAAGTCTCAGAAGCTTCTTTTCACTACAATTTGAACGGCTACTGCTCTCCAACGTCGTCGTTTCAGATACATCTGTAGATGTCACCTTTATCAGCTTTTCCGTCCACTGATTACTACTTCCACCGTCGCCGGAGCTCCTTCTAGCATCAGTCATGAAAGCGGATCCAGTAATTCCAAGTTTGAGATCCTCCGGGTTCAGTTTAGCAGCTTCATCAAAGTTGCAGTTGATAGCTTCTGATGCATTGTCGCTTTCCGTTGTCACTTGAGTAGATCCGAATGAAAATAGCTCCGGCATGGGATGTATGCTTCCACCTCGGAGCACCGTCTCTACAGCTGATTCACAGACGTGCCAGTTTCCTGTCCACAGCAGTCCGACTACTCCGTTCACTGGATTCACCGTCCGGCCGCAGGCTTCGAACAGTAAAGACTGAAATAAACCTGAACGTACAAAATAAAACAGATAAACAATCAAGTCGATCATATTATATATCAAAATATTAATCATCCAAAACCTAAAACCGTATGACTTGTAAGAAGGTATGAGATAAATAGATAGATTGAAGATGTTGTGATGATATTTACCAGGTCGTTGGTGCTCAGGGACGGAGGAGAGGAAGGACATAAGGCCGGCACGGCCGAAAAATTTGGCAACGAACAAAGTGGCGTTGGCTTGAGCTTGAGCACTTTCGATGGCACAGAGACTTTGTCTGAGAATGCAGTTCTCGTTGCAACCCTTTCGAAGAATTCTGCAGCCATTGCAACTCATTATTGCTTTATTGAATTAATCTATCTTACTCATGCAACAACACCTTGAGTCTGTTTGTGTGCTAATTGTTGGAAGCGATGCCGAATAGGAATGGGGTTTGGAGGTGTGTTTGTTTATATATAGATATAGATATATATATATATATATATATATATATATATATATATATATATATATATATATATATATAGAGAGAGAGAGGCTTAGGTTATTATATACAAACTTATTATTGTATGGATGTAGGAATGATTGTGGGCCAATCATTTTGTTTATTTTAAGAAAGTGATTAATACATATTATTAAATTAAATATAATTGAAAAAATATCATCTAATTTAATTAGAAGGGTATTTTAGTCAATTAATATAGATTTAATAAAAGAAAATTGCATATTTTAAGAGATCATAGATTCTATTAATTTTAAAATCTGATTTTACGAATTTTAATTTTTTTTTAATTCGGACATTCTGAGAGAATATGTTTATGAGTATATTAAAAAATAAAAATATTTTTAAACCATAAAATAATAAAAATATTCTTGAACCTATTTATTAATCATGACTTTAAAAACTTCTTTTAGAATAACAAATTCTCGAATCATCAATTGAAGAATAAAAACAAAAATTACATTAATTCTTATAGAATAGGGGTAACAATTACTAAGAATTATATTTTTTGTTAAAGAAAAAACAAAAAAAACTTTCAAATCGGGAAAAAAACATTAAAATCTAACAAATATACTAATACATTCTAAAAGAATAATGTTGCTAAGAATCACTTTCAATTTTGTGGTCCATTCTTCAAGCATCAACTTCTGTGAAAACAAATCCAATTGTAGTTTAGAATCCAATAACGCATTAGCAAATGAAAAATAAAAAACTAAATTCCTTTGGAAAAATATGAGGACTTGTCAATTGCACCAAAACCAATAACCAAGAAATGTAGAACATGCATAAATCAGTGAAAAAAATATCCATATTCCATTCCAATAGATTTGTAATCCGTGATTCCATTCTGATAGAATTGGAATTCAAGATTCAATTACCATATGCATTCTGTTGGAAAAATATCAAAGTAACAGTCATTCTTTGCCTTTCACATCATGTATTCTGATTGGAAGCCCCTCTGGTTGAGAAATAGGTGGAAAATATGCCTGTAGAGTATGTGAACTTGAGTATTATTCAAAGGACAATAATTGTCTTTTCTCATAAATATACAATATACTTACTTCAACACATGCTTTTGGGAGAACCAAACGACCAATTCTACCAGCATCACTGGCACTCAGAATCTTCTCAAATAATGGAACAACTGTAGCATTTAAACTTAAAGAAGCAGAATCAAGGAAAATATTACATTGTAAAGATAGATTAATATACTTATTTTAGATTAATGTAATATACATAATCAAAACATGGTTAAAGATGGATACTTTCCAAATATCTGTTGCAGCTCTTGTTTTGTAATTCTAGGCCAATAACGAGGAAGAAGCTGATTTTTAATACGCCCCTCAACAGGAGGCCTATCAATTCGTATATGTGAATTCATTCCAATATTTGTATCAAATCCTTGTGAAAAGACGGATTTTCGGCACTTTGGGTAAAATATGGCGAGACCAAGGTCCCTGTTGAAAGGGTTTATTCAATTCCCTTCCATCAAGAGAAAGAAAAGCTGGCTTTGTGAAGAGGAAGATGAAGAAGTTAAGCCCATAGTTAAGTCTGTTTGAACAAGTGATCCAATTGCATCTTTACCCCATATACTTTCTCTATACTTAAATGATTTGGTTCCATGAGCAGGTTCAAAAGTTGAAATGGGAAAGATTTCCTAACATCTGCTCATCGTTGTCGTCAGTTGAACCACCACCGACACACACCCCCAAAACCACGGGGGTTCTTGGGGTCGATGAATTAAATGCGGAAGGATTGGCTTCAATTGGGGTCGCCCCATTCCCTAAATCCAACCGACGACCACCAAAACCCATCCATGAACAGTCAAAATCGGAAACCACATTTTCAAAACTTGACACTATTCGTTAAGCCCACACAAGAGGACATAAACCAGATACACACTTGCTCTGGATTTAACCATCAGATTAGATTAGAAAAAACTTATATTAGAAAACTGGATTAGATTAGAAAAACTTACAGAAATTGGATTGGATTGATTCTAGGAGGTCGTGATGGTCATTGATAGGGAGATATTTTAGAGAAAAAAGAGAGAAAGATAATGAGGTTTAGATAGAAACATAATTGTTGGTGGGTGTGTGTTGTTATCGTGGTTGTTGGTAGCGGACACGGTGGTGGATAGACGTTCCGACGGCGACAACCCCATTGATCGAGCACACTTGGAGACTTCGGTCCTCCTTTCTCTCTATACTAGCGACACATAGTGGTGTGTGAAGATGATGGAGACGATATGAACGATTGTTTGTGGTTAATGAGATTTTATTGTAACTGTCCAACATTCAAGGGATTTCCATATATATTAAGTTTTATTTTTGGTTTATAAAATTATTTATATATGAAGTTCCCAAATTACCCTTATATAATTAATTAATTATTAAATTTTTGTAGTTAAAATGATTGGACCATATTAATCCCTACATCCACACAATAGATAGTTAAAATACATGAACCTACCTCTCTCTCTCTCTCTATATATATATATATATATATATAATATATATATAATATATATATATATATATATATATATATATATATATATATAGGTTATAATGTGGATGAACAACTATTGTGCGGACGACAATGCTATTCTATGATAATTACTAAGAGCATAGGTTGTTTAGTAATGTGAATTCGTTCAAGCTCACACAACTATTGTCATTTTCATGCATTGTCACAAATTTCTATACATTTTTGTTCTCGCTCATCGTTTTTCACTCATTTTCATTCTTACAGAATACGACTCAATACATATTCCGCCAACATTCTGACAGAATGTGAATAATAAAAAAAGTCTATAATAACCTTATAGACGGTTTAATTAGTGAAAATGTGTGATAATGACAATAGTTATGTAAATTTGAATGTATTCACATTTTCAAACAGCATATTTTCTTTGTCATTTTCACAGAATAGCACTGTTCGTACGTCCGCACAATAGATGTCAATCCACCTTTGAACCTAGCTCTCTCTCTCTCTCTCTCTCCCCTCTCTCTTTATATATATATATATATATATATATATATATATATATATATATATATATATATATATATATAGGCTTAGGTTATTGTACTCTAACTAATTATTGTGTGGATGTAGGAATGATTGTGAGTCAATCATTTTACTTATTTTAAGAAAGTGATTAATACATATTCATAAATTAAAGTTAATTGAAAAATACCATCTAATTTCATTCTAAGGGTATTTTAGTCAATTAATATAAATTTAAAAAAGAAAAATTGCAGATTTTAGAGAATAATTAATTCTCTAAACTTTAAAAATATGATTTTAAAGGATAATTGATTTTATTAATTTTTAATTTTGATTTTTTTAATTAAACTCATTTCAATTCTAATGTAATTTTAAATCATAATCGATTTGATTTTGTCAATAATGATATTCTATGAGAATGACATCATAAACTAATAAAGAGTGTTGGATTTTAAAAGCTTGATATTAGAACAAATATCAAATCTGTTTTCAATCATTCTCCAAGAATGAGTTGAATAATATAGAGTTTGAATGGTAAAAATGTTAATATAAAATATATATTCTTACGGAATATGTTTACATTAAAAGAATAAAAAATCTTCGAAAACATTTTTGATGCTCTTGAAAGAATCTATTTCCGACATATATAATCAAACATAAAATTAAGCTTCCTTTTTGAAATAATACTCTATCATTGATCTGTAATAAAAAAAATCTTCAAGAATTATGTAGCATTATTTTGAGCTGTAATTAAAAAAAATAATAAAGTTAGTAAACGAATCAAACTATACATTTTCCATGTGAATTTAGTACATTCTAAAAGAATAAAATTATAAATTCTAATAGAAGATTTCAATAGAATATGGTCGTAGGTCCCGTACTATGTTGCAGGAGAGGTTGTGCCTTGGGCTGCAAATGGAATTACTGCAACTACACTTGGTTGTGGGAAGCTTCTTGTAAGACATTCTGTTATAAACACCCATCCCAAAATTAGCATTTACAGTATTTACCTAAAAATCATTATATGTTCCATCAAACATTATTAAACAAAGAAGTCAAAATTCGTTATGTTGAGGACGTAAAGCTATGGTTGTTTTGTTTGTAGCCGATGTCATCCAGCAGCCACCAAAGGAGATTTTGGGAAAATACATCCCCATTTTTAATCTGAATGTTCCAATAGTTATTAGAAAAGAAATAAAAAAAATTGTAATCATCTTCCTATTGCTAAATTATTGGCTATTGTCTAATCTAAACTAAACCTAAAATAAAATAAAAAAGAAACTGAGCTAAACTAAATCACAATCATATGGATCAATCCCAAGTTTGTACGTCGGCATAATTTTATTGACACTTAAAATTGAAGAACATGAGCATGATTGAACTTCTTTTATGGATTTTAAAGTTGGAGTGCAGTGCAGTAGAAGAAAGTTAATCTTTAGTATATATGAAACTACTGCAATACTATTTTTGTCGCTATAGTGTCAACACTGGACCGAAGTTAATAGGAAAAGATGATAGAAACATCAACATCCAAATCCAAAACGTATCTTAACAACACAGTAAATGAAATCAAATTGGAAAGAGGAGGGAGAAGAATCGGGTACAAGTGAGATAAAAGCATACCTCTGAGAAGGGAGAAGAATCGCACCTAAACCAAAAACGAAAATCAGAAAGATGAACGCCTCGTTCCCTATAACACCCTGTTCTGAAAGTATCCGTTTATGGATTTTAGAGGGCAAGGCTAGGGGCGTTTTGGTCTTTTATGGGTTTTGAGTTTTTGTTCGAGAGGTTTTGGGCCGGGTGTGTCGCTAGAAGCGTAGGGCTTCTCGCTACCTGTTCGTGGATACAAAGTTCGTCGGAAACGGACATGGAATGAAGGAGTTATGGCAGTTTGAAGTTATTGGCATTAATGG